GCATCCTTCCAGCAACAAAGGCCGACTATAGATGTAGTAAGATCATAGCCAGCAAGTCAAGGAAGGTAATTATTCCTGTTTGGTATTTTGAGAATGCACCTGGAATTCTGTGCCTATTTTGGGGCACTGTGATACAAGAAGGACACTGACTGGAACCATTACAACAGGGTGGTCAGAGAGCTGCAGCATATTACGTGTGAGGAGAGGCTGACAGAGCAGTGTCTCAAGGCTGAGAAGGCTGTAGTGAAATCTGTCCACTCTCACGGTCTGCTGTGTGGTCATGAAAAAGGCAAAAGGCAAAACCCAGGTTATTTTCAGGAGTGACCATGGACAAAAGGAACCAACAAAGGTGCTGCAGCAAAAAATATTCTAGTTGGCAAAGTTCTCATGAGTTGATCAGCAGCTGGCACAGCCATTCTTGGATATTCAGCAGTTAACTGGATAAGGCCCTGAGCCAATCTGATGTGTCTTTGAAATTAGCCCTGTTTCTGACATGGGGATTAGACATAGGTTTGCACTGAGTTATTCTGTGGTCCTGAAGAAGCAAATTCATGTGGTTTTACCATTGCACAGCCAGTGTAGTGAAATGATTATCCCATGGGTTTATTTCCTCATGTGGGTATTCATAATAGAGCTTCTGGCCATTTGTGATTTTTAAATAATCTTATGAGTTATTTTGGGGTTTTTCCAGGAATGAATTTGTTCTCTCTGGTGTTTATAGCAGCTTCCAAGCACAATTTTTAGTCTGGCTTTAAACTCAGGTAGTGCCAACTGCAAAGGTTATACTCTGTGTCTTTGTGTGCCCTAGCTTGGTGTTTCTGAAGAATTATTGCTGTTTGTACCAGGGTGGCTCAGTCTTACTGTTAATGAGCCATCTTTGTGAACACTGTATAAAGTACTTTAAAATCTTTGGGTGAAAGGAGCTTTTCAAATTCAGATCACATTGTTAAAGTTCATTTAAGAAGAATATGAAAACAAAAATGGCTTATGAGGGAAGTACTCTTTTGGGATAAACATGTCTTTTTATGTTTATGCCCAGAAGCATTAGCTGATTTTTTTTGTTTTTTCCTTCCGAGCTGAAGCTCTCCAGCACTGTAGTGCCTTTGACACTGGGAAGGACATGCAGTTCTTAGTGCATGCTAGTAATACTCTGCTGGTGGTGCTTGAGAAAGAGTGATGACTTTGGTAGGCTGCAGCTCTCAGAGGTACTTTATTTTCTTCTTCCTGTAGACTGGTGTGAGCGGCAATAAATTCTCTCTGTCCAAGACTGTTCCCCTGACTAAAGTGGTCCAAAATGATACATACACAGCTCCACCTGCACCTCCCTCTCCTATGCGGACGAAGGCCTTGACAAACATGTCTCGGACCTTAGTGACAAAGGAAGAGCCTCCAAAAGAGCCGGCACCTGTCGAGGTGAGCTCAGGGAAGGGGAAGGTGCTCCTTATAGAAGTCTCTGAAACATCTGAAACTTGCTATTCGTCGGTCGTGTGAGCAGCTCATTTCTGCCTGCCTTTCACCGTTATTTCTGGGACACCATCAAGGTTATTCTGATAACTGCAATCCGTGTCCCAAGAATTTGAAACTAGTCTAAACATCATTTTCCTCAGAGTTTGAGAGACTGGGAGTTCTCAGATAATGCATCTTGATTCTCCCAACTTTTCTCTCTGGCAAAAGAGCACATGGTCCCAGAGGAATCCATATTACAGGGAGCTGGCAGTTATTGTTTTGAAACTCCTTGGTGGCTTTGATGTCCCTAGGAGTAGTGTTTTAACACTATTTCATATGTTGTCTTCTGTCAACTCCAGTTAGCAAGGAGGAAAAAGGATTCTTCCAAATAGAGCTTCTTGCCGTAATTGAGACCTCTCAGGCAATTTGTAGACAACCTGCCTGGAATTGCTTTGCCAAATTGGTCTGATGTTGGGTACAGGTAACCCACCAGTTATTCCCAGGCATGTTGAGTTCAGCATGCTCTTGAAGGGCTAGAGCTGTATTTTGAGGTTTGCCGGCTGGTGTAGAGTAGAACAGAGAAACGCTATTTAAAGTGTGGGCATGACCAGAGTACTACTGTGTATGTATGCAGATTAAATTACTGTTATACTTGGCAATAGGAGCAGAAAGTTACTTCAAAGAGAAATTAGCATGGAAGAGAAGCTGCTTTTTGCCATCGGATGAGCTGGGCTTTTGTAAGCATGAATATTTCCCATTACGAGCTGTAGCTCTCTCCTGTGTCTGTGTGTGTGTGTAGAGACATTACCAGACATCCCCTTACCTATTTCTTAATGCTTTCTCTGCTGTGCTGTCTTGTGTGCTGTATTTCTGACCTTTTTTATGTAACGCATTTGTTTTTGTCAGCAGCTGGCATTCAGTCCTTTGGAAGGCACAAAAATGACCGTAAATAATCTGCATCCTCGAGTCACAGAGGAAGACATTGTTGTGAGTGTTGCTTACTGCCGGACTGTGGATGAATGACACTTCCTTTCCTTATCCTACCTTTTTTGATAAATCAGTTGATCTGTGGTGAATGCAATGAAGAGGGGTATGATGTGGTTTAATTTCCTTGAAAAAAAACTTTGAGGGTTTCTGATTGCTTTATGTTTTGTTCACGTTTTTTAAAAAAGTGTGTGCTTAAGAAAATAGGAGAAAATCCCATTTCTAGGGTGTGCTGAGATACCTGACATCACTTAAAAGAAGAGTTTGTGCCAAATGATGTTCAGGGTGTTCTCCCTGAATTTATGCCCCCATTCAAATTATCTAGGGGCTTCCATTCTCATGAGGCTGAGAACGAATCTGTGCTTCCTATGGGGAAAACATTACAGAGTACTGGCCTTGAACTTTTCTGCCTGTGTAAGCTCTATTACTAGTGCCAAGTACTCATACCATAACAAGCACAATAAGACAAGTGTCCAGATTCTGTCAGGTGTTTACTAAGCAGGATGGGAGGTGCGATTAAGAAACTAAGCCATTCTCACTTGGTGCCTTTGGTGTGACCATGGTCACGACTAACTCTGCCCTCAGGAGTTATTCTGCGTGTATGGTGCTCTGAAGAGAGCCCGGCTGGTGCACCCTGGAGTGGCCGAGGTAGTGTTTGTGAAGAAAGAAGATGCTATCACAGCATACAAGAAATACAACAACAGGTGCTTAGATGGTAAGTTTGATGCCAGAGTTGCAATTAAAGTAAATAAATCAACAATTACCTTTCCACCTCAGTGGAAGGTTGAAAAGCATCTCAGATGCTCATATGCTACCAAGAGAGAAGGAATGCTAGAAAATCAGTTCAGCAGCTAGATAATATAATACATTCCTCTGTGACTAGCTGAATATATGCACAGTTTATTTAAGTGAAATAAAAAGACCCCACTCACATTTTCTTAGAAGAAGAATGCTCAGAGCTGGAGGCAGGGCCCTGGTGAGTCTGCTGATCTAACTTCCAGATAAAATTTATTGTGTTTCTAATCTGGTACCAAGAGCTAGATAGTCCTCAGCAAGGCTTTACTTGCTTACAGAAAAGCTGTTTGCAAAGTACAAGTAAAACTAATTGCAATAGTCTCAGGGTGTCAACATAGGCATTTTGAATTGGAGTTGTAAAACAGTATCAGCTTCTCCATAAACGTCTAACAATGCAATTTTTAACCTGGACCCACCTGCAGTGTTGTGTTAGACAGAAATTAGCTCTTAATTTGTAGCTGGAAATAGATGCTTTTTCTAGATGAGTAACATACTATGAATGTCAGATGAGGAGCAGACAGGTAAGAGTAGAAGATGTCTTGTCTCTCTGCTAAGGGCTTTGTACCTCTGTGTAATTTCTTAATTAGTGTGATTCTTCATATTGTACTGAGTGTTTTGGTGGCTTTTCTGTTGCTCTGATTTTGAAAAAAAAGATTTATCAGCTGTTCCTTCTCATGTTTCCCCTGTATATGGAACTCTTTGCCTGCACTGCTGTGTGGTATTTCAAGGATCTGGCCTTACCCCAATTCTGATAAAATGACTTTTTAATTTTGTTTTTATTTAGGTCAACCAATGAAATGCAATCTTCACATGAATGGGAATGTCATCACCTCAGACCAGCCTATATTGCTGTAAGTGTCCTTTGTGTGGGGAAAAGAACCAAACACTTCTGCAAGTTCTGAGAATTGTTGTCCCATGCATGTTTTCCTTCTCTTCCTTTCTGTGGCACAGTATGTTGAGCTGAGTGCAATATAGGTTGACCACATACTGCTCTCAGCCCTGAGGTTCAAAAATAGTCTGAGATGAGGATGTTTTCTTGTGAGGAAAGCATATTTAAAACCTTTATGTTTAATATTGGTAAGGGTCAACACTGATAGCAGTAATTGCAGACATAGTATTAAATTTTATTCCATGAGAGATTAAATACTGCTCTTCTTTTATCCGACAGCCGATTGAGCGATACCCCTTCAGTGAAGAAGGAAGAGGAACCACGCCGGTCAAGTGCAAGCGCCTCCTCAAATCCCCCAGCTGAAGTGGACCCTGACACTATCTTGAAGGCACTCTTCAAATCCTCAGGGGTCTCTGCCTCTGTGCAGCCCACAGAATTTAAAATTAAACTCTGAGAAGCGGGAGCAAGCAGTGGACTGGAAAACTCATATAAGTTGGGGGGTGGGGAAAGTGCAGGAGTGCAGATGTTATTTGCATTTGCCTGCCTTGAAATTTTTTGTTTTCTATGATCGCTACTTTACTGTATGATAGTGTTTCCTCTTGTGTGTGTACTTTCTGTTTTCATAGTTGGAGTTTTCTTCCTTGGTTTTTTTTCCCCAAAAAATAACCTCCCCCTTCTGCCAGTAATGTATTACCAAGCATATACCATGTAACTCCATCCTTTACTCCAAAGCCCCCAGTGACCATTAAAAGTGCACATAGACTTTGAGGGAAGGAGTGGTGATCTCCTTCTCTTTTCTTCTGTTTGACCTTTAACTAAAAGATGCATCCCCTTGATTATCCACAGGCAAGAACATCACGTTGTTTCTGAAGTTGCTGCGCTGGGTACAAAGTCAGGTTGGGCTCCGTACAGGAAGCACCATCTGGTATCTTTGCCTTGTGTGCGTTTGGTGGCATACCACTTCATTCTGGCTGTTGGACATGTTCCTGCTCAGCAGCTGAGACGTTGAGAAGAAGTGGGGAAAACCAAGCTTCCTGTTGCGTATGCCAGCCAACAGAGGCGTCAGGCAGAAAGGACGTATGCACAAGTGCATCAGCCATTGTGCTGTGGGAAGGGATTTTTCAACTGGTAATGATGGGGGCTTGTTCTGGCATTTTTACAATGAATATATTTGCTCTGTAAGGTCAGGCTCAGTTACTCTCCTCTTTCTGGACTGAAAAATTAAGAACCAGTCGTGTTCAGAGCTAGAAGAAATGCAGATATTTCTCTCCCGTTAGACTGTATTGCATCCTCCTGCTGATGGAGGGATGTGAATTTTTTTTTTTACCATCTAACTCATCCAGTTAGAATTCTTCCTGTAAAAAAGGAAGGACCTGGGACCCATGAAGCAGTCTTATTTTGTGTCTGAGAACTCTCTTTGAGAGATGCCACTTGGGCAGTGTTTGGCTGCTTTGTGGGCATGCTGCTGACATGCTGGATTTGGAGGATGATTGCTGCAGTTATGGCTTCAGAGAGAGGTTTTGGAGCAGAGAGCAGTTAGCACTCTGTAAGGAACACGGGAGAGGAGCGTCAGGTCCTGTGCAGAACAGCGAAGATGTGCTATGGGCCAGTAAGTGTCTGTGACAGGCCACCAGGTGGCACTTCCAGTGCTTCCCATTCTTTGTACAGCATTGTCGCCTTGGATGTTGAAGGTACAAGTAGCTCCACTCATTTGTATTTGTTCAGATTGTGTTATAAGAGAGGAAAGCTGAGAGCAATTTCCAGAATGTGGTTGGGATTTGAACTTGATCTTGCTAGCTAGGAGACTCACCTAATCCATGCTGTTCAGCTCTGCTGAGTACCTCTCGTAGGGCCAGATTCCATTTCTTGGTCAACCCTATGTTTCTTTTGCTTTCTTGTTCTGTATGAACTCTTTGCTCTTATCTGGCTCATGCAGACCATTCCTCTGTCTCACCCTTTTAGCCATGGAAATAACTGAGGACTTGGCAGGACTTGTTTTTATGGAATACTCTCTGGTTGGAAAGCCAACAACACTTATTGGTAGGGTACTTCATGTGAACAGCAGATGTTTGTAGGGGAGGGGACCTAAGAGAGCTATTGTTCTCCTTTTTTAGATTGCCCACCAAATACCTGTGTTTTAATAAAAAAAAAAAAAAAGGGAAGGGGAAAGGGGAGGAAACATTAGGGGTTGGAGAAGATAATGTATTACCTGTTTCTGAATAAACGTTTGTTATACAGAGAGTGAATTCTAAGCCTTTTTAGATGCTGTGAAGCAACTAAAGATAAGTGGAGTCGTTCCAACAGTGAGCCAAGGATGTTTTTTAGAGGGACAGAAGTTTCAAAACTGATAATTCGATGAAGACCAAGAGGAGCATATGGGTGAAAGAACTGATACTCATCCACCTTTTGATCTGGATCACAGAAATTAGCAGTTGACTGTTACTGCTAAATGGGAGCTGTGTGTGTCCATCTAATTCCAATTCTCTTGTCACAGAAAAAAAGAGCCTTTGTTATTGACAGCCTAATAATTGAAAAAGTAATTTTACAAAATCACAGCTGTGAAACAGGGTACCTGTTCTAGGTGAGGTAGGGTACTTTAATTATCAACCAGACATAGCTGTGGACATGTGAAGACATGTATTGTGAGTGCGTATCTTGTGCCTTCTGAGGGAATGGGGAGATTCAAGCATTTTTTAAAATTAAGAGATTCATGCCCATTTAAAAAGCCAAACAGCAAGGTACACTTTAACTTCCTGTTAAATTGTGCATTGTGTTTAGATTATGAGAGTTTATGATGACATTAAGATACTTCCTTGGAAGAACTAGTGCTCCGTTCTCTAACTCTGTGATATATAACAGTATATATATATATTTTTTTTGTATAAATCAGTGAAGTCAGTGATTCTCTAAACACCACTCCATGACTTGTCTTACAGCAATGTTTTGGTATACATGCTCTTCTGTTCTTGGTCAGCTCTTTAAAGTTAGTCTTTTAATATATACCATGGCATGGCGTCTTTGGTTGGGCACTGAAAGAAGAGTAACCAGTTCTCAGTACTCTTTTTCAGGCAGTTTGTCTTGCAGCTCTCCAATTTCTCCTGGCTGTTCTGCAATTGTCTTGCTAATCTTGTTTGCTTACATACCACTGACCTCACATCCTCCATATTTGCCCTGGTGCAGCATGGTTATATTTTTGGTTGTTTTTTTGTGTTTTGGTGCGGTTTTTTGTGGTGTGTTTTTTTGTTGTTTTGCTTTGCTTTGTTTTGTTTTGGTTTTTTTTCATTTTTTTTCTTTCCCTGGGCTGATGGAGATTATAAATTTGCACATGAAATACTGATTGCCTGCACTAAATTAGTGTGGATTAATTTAGTAATTAAATTAAACAACTGCCCAGGACAGGTGGTAGGTAATTTGTAATGGTGTTTCTTTTCTTTCCTTTTTCAAAAATGTGATGACTTCTGAAGTGATATACCACAATGTGCAAGTTTAGTATATTTTCATGGCTTCTGCATGTACCATTCCTTCTGATAATGTTCATTAATTTGGATATTTGGTTGGGTCAACACATCATTTCATGTTTTGTCACTGTGTGCATTAGTCTTGCTTCAGTATCTTACTTTTGGAGTAGTCCTCTCTTCCATTCAGTCGTAAATACAAATTCCTCTGTAAACGATAATTTTTAAAATTTTTCCTGAGTAACAAGTCTTTAAAAAACAATCGTCTTTGAATGTTTTTGTATATCTTGAAGGTCTATTTGCCTCTCTAGGGTTAAGTGCCTAGAATTTACACAGTTTTTACGGGAAGGTGAACTCGACCCTCGGGAATGGGGCGAGTCCCTCCGCCCCGAGGGACCCGCCGCCGCCATTACCAGCGCGGCGCCGCCGATGGAGACTACATGTCCCGGCGGCCCCCGCGCCCGCCGCTCGCGGAGAGAAGATGGCGGCCGCCACGGAGCGTGTGGCGGGAGCGGGGCCGGCGGGGTACACGGGTGAGGGGCAGCGGCGGGCACCGGGAGCGGGGCCGGCGGGGTACACGGGTGAGGGGCAGCGGCGGGCACCGGGAGCGGGGCCGGCGGGGTACACGGGTGAGGGGCAGCGGCGGGCACCGGGAGGGGGGCCGGCGGGGTACACGGGTGAGGGGGCTTGGGGCAGCGGCGGGCACCGGCACCAGGAGCGGGGGCCGGCGGAGTAGGACCGCGGCTTCGGCGGCATCTCTAACCGGTGGGTCCCTCGCAGCTCTGGCGGTGAAGTTCGGGGCGCGGCAGCGCTCGGCCCATTGCTTGTTGGTGAAGGAGCACCAGGTGCGGGAAGGGGCCGACACGGCGCACCCGCCTCGCCGCACACTCTTCGTCCTCAACGTGCCCCCGTACTGCGGCCCGGTGAGTGGGGCTGGGGGTCGCACCGGGCGAGGGGGCGGCTGGAGGCCGAGCGCGTCCCCGCGGCAGCCGGCGTGCCTCGGGGTAGCTGCGGGCACGGGAGCCGGCGTGAGGCGGGGTGTGTGCGGGCAGAGCCGCCCGGAGCGCGCTGCAGTCTGTGCGTGAGAGGGCGGGGAGGGGCATCGCTCCTGCTTTGCTATACCGCGTGTTCTCTCTTACTCCCCGTGTCAAGGACTCTCTGTCTAGGCTGTTCTCCCGCTGCGGGCCTGTGCAGTCTGTGGACATCTGTGACAAGCCAGGGCCGGGAGAAAAAAAAGAAAAGCCGACGTCCAAATTCTTCAATCGCAAAACCGTAACGGTAAAGCTCGGGGGGCGGAGGAATACTGATGTTTTAGGGGGAAAAGATGGCAAGCACTGAATGGTTCTGTTTGGAACATGAGATACAGGAAACCGTTTCAGGGCATCAGGTGACATGATTACATATTTAAGTTTACGTTACTTTTTATTTTGCTATTGCACTACAACTTGTGATTTGATTTTTATTTTACTTTTTAATGTTATTTATACTACGGCTCCATGCTGCATCACCAGTTTCTCTAAATGTATCTGACTGACCTGGGTGTCTTTTTCTTTTAGGGATTTCAAGTAGCATATGTGGTGTTCAGGAAACCAGCAGGTGTCCAGGCAGCCAAGGCTCTGTCACAGGAGGGTCCCTTGCTAATATCAACAGAGAGCCACCCTGTGAAAACCGGCATTAGCAGTACGTCAGCCCGAACTATCTCTGTACTAGCTAGTATCAGGAAAAAACTATACTCATTACTTGCTGAATCCTACCCTGCATGTCCCCTTTTGTACTAAGCTGGGAGATGTTCAGCGTTTTGTTGTCCTGCTTATGTTATTTGCAGGGTACAAATCTTATTGTACTGGGTATTGTAGTCTAGTCCAGTGACTCTATGGGAAATTGGGGTCGCTTGGTAGGGGGAGTTTTCCCGACATCTTTTCAGTATCATGTAGATTCAGAGATACTGTCTGCATCTTGCCCTCAAAATGGAATCCAGACTCACAAGCACCAGGTACTTGTCAAGATGGCAGCACTTCAGATACACTCCCTTGACAGGAACCCAGCCCTGAGTGTTGTACTCCTTGGGGTAGGGCTAGTTCACTTCTGCTTGGGAAAGTTGCAGACTCTTCCCATTGCTTATTGGCTGTGCCCTCGGGCATAAATCGGTTGATCTGTGGCAGTGGGGAAGCTGAACAGAAATGGAACAGAGTCCTTACCCCATAGCAGTTCGCTCTAGAGCTGCCCAAAGGCATCTTACTGGGTCCTGCATCTAACAGTGGCTACTGCTGACTTGTGCCCTCTCTGTCTCAGAGTGGATTGCCAGTTACGAGGCTTCTGTCGTGGATCCGAAGGAGCTTAAGGCTGAGGTGGATGCCTACATGCAAGACTATGACAAAAAGATGGCAGAGGTGAGACCAGGCTGGGGAGGGAACCCAGCTAAGTAGTTTGTTTGGGGGAGAGGAAAGGAAGAGAGATTTCTCAGTGCCCCAGCCACAGTGGAAAAGGCAGAGGGTCCTACTGTGCCCAGGCCTTACAACAGCTATCCACAAATAAAGTCCTGGCTGGCATGCAGTGTTGTGACTGAGAGTTGAATACCTACACCCCTGCTCCCACACTTTCCTTTAAATCTTGTGTGGAAGCAGGAGCTCTAGCTTTGCATGTTTTTAAGCTACGGCTTAGGAACATGTGCATCAGGCTGGCTGGCAGCCATTCTGCATGCGCTGAGCTGTCTTACCCTCCTGTCTTTACAGGAAGAAGCCAAAGCGGCCGAGGAGGAGGGTGTTCCGGATGAGGAGGGCTGGGTGAAGGTAACGCGAAAGGGCCGGAAGCCTGGCCTGCCCCGGACAGAGGCTGCCAACCTGAGGGTGCTGGAGAAGGAGAAACAGAAAAGGGCCCGCAAAGAGCTGCTCAACTTCTATGCCTGGCAACATCGTGAGACCAAGAGAGAGCGTGAGTGTCCGAGTCTCCTCCTACCCCTGCTCATGTCTCTTGTCTCACACTGTGGCTCAAAGAACATCCTTTTTTCCTTCCACTGAAGGAAGCCTTCCACTAAAGGGGAGGCTACATCCAGCTGCCAGTGAACAGCTGGCTGGGTGAGTGGGAATGGCCTCACCAGCTCTTGGGACCACCTATCCTAGAAAGGGCTGCTGGAATATTTTGTGGGAGAGTGTGCAGGTTGTGGTTTTGCAAGATGCTTATTTAGTCTGCACTAAGGCAGTGATTGAAGAAGGGAGAAAATATCCAGTTTCCTCCCCAAGAGGGAGCTGCAGCACTGTCGGAGGTGAACGGCCAGAGCCCTGGCTTGGTACTCAGCCTAGGTGTAAAAGGACCAGCTCTGGGAAGTGTGCATTTGCAGCTGTTGGGACTGAGCCTCTCCTGGTGTGTGGAAGTGAAGCTTCCACAGAGGGAGATCTGCTGCTCCTGTGTGACCTGTTCTCTTTCTCCATGTTTTAGACATTGCCCAATTGAGGAAGAAATTCGAAGAGGACAAGCAGAGGATCGCACTGATGCGAGCCCAGCGCAAGTTTCGGCCGTACTAAATTGCGCTGAGCTGTTCCTCAGGTGCCTGTGTTGGAGAGGGTGGGAGAGATACCTACTGACTCCATTGCCGAAGGATTTAAGGAACTGAGGCAGCTTCGGGTTGTCTCTGCCCTTGGATCTGAAATGGGAGATCCCAGCACCTGCTGCTGGAGGGGAGTTCTCTTTACTCGTACCAGTATCTTCCTGCTCTCCTGGCTGTTATTTGGCCCTGTGGCACCACTTCCCAGGGTGCTCAGGTCAGGGGGTCTGAGGCACATCCTGTGACAACATGTATCTCCTGCCACCTCAGGCTCCCCTAAAGCTTGGTGAGAACTGAGATTGACCTAGCACAGCCTCTGCAGGAGCAGGGAATGGTTGAAGAACTGTAAATAAACTGCTGCTATGTTCTCAAAACATGGGAATGCTTCTCTCTCCCACCCCAGTCTGCTGTGGGGATCAGCTTCTTGTGTGCTGGGCTGGCAGTAAAATTCATGACTTGTAAGCTGGTGCTCCTTTGCGCATTTTGTCTGGGGATAGAAGTGACTTTGGGAAAAGCCCAGCTGGGAAGATCCTTGTGACCTGTTGTCACAAGGAAAGATCAGTGGTTTGGTAAGTGCCCTACCCCTTCCCTCAGTGATTCCCTCCCTGGCAGTTCCTTCTCAGCCAGGTGTTGAGTTGCCCAGTCATCCAGCTATGTGTGGAGCTCTGCAGCCACATCTGGGCCATAGGAAACTTCTGTTGTCTGACACTGTTGCAAGAACTAGTGCCGCTTCAAGCAGCCTGGCCTTGGAATGAGAAACCAGACTCTTCAAGGCCTGTATCCACTTAACTTGTCACCAGCCCACAGAAGGCAGGGAAGGGTGGCAGCAGGCACATCTAGGTGCAAATCAGTGCTTTTATACTGCCCATATAACATCTGTGCAGCTTTGGACTTAGTGATAGGTCACCCCAGCACACTCTGTGATCAAAGTAACCTGCCCAGCCCCAGGCTTTTACATATTTATTTTACTGCCTGCAGCCTCGATGCAGGTGTGACCATGAATGTACAACAAAGTGCTGGTAAGTTCTACAGAACTGATTTAAAATGGATTTACCTTTTCCTAGAAAGCCCACTGCAAATACAGTTTGCATTGCTTGTGTTGCTTCAGTTGGCTTTTTGCATTAATTTAACTGGGAGGCAGATCCTTAATATGCCCTATCTAAGGCAGACTGTGTACAAAAATTGCTGCCTCCTAAGATATGTTTTAGCTGCTTGGGTGAGCATCCCAAAAGAGAGAAAGGAGGTTCACTCTCCTACTGAGTCAAGAAGACAGACTTCACATTAGGAGATTAATCTTTATTTAGGACAGAAATCACCTCTGCCAACTTTTCCATAATTAGTGGTTCTAGCTGCTTCAGCTAGAGGATTAGTGACATTCATTAAAATGACCTTCTATGCCCAGGTGAGCTCTTATTTAAGCTGACTTCTGAAAAAAAAAGCAGCTCTCACAGTAGAACAAAGACACTGAGGCCCTCTGAGCTCAGGCCCCTATGGAAGTAAGTGGAGAAGCAGAACACTTCCCTTGTTTTACAGCAGGTTTAATCCTGGGAGCAGCCTGGCCACACCATCCTCAGGGAGAAGGCAAGATGAGCCAACTCTCTTGCAGTGTCAAAGCTGGTACTGCTGCTGTCACAGAGGATGCCTCTGCCTGTATTCCTGCACTGTTTCAGGGTGCAAGTTTGGAACAAGCCAAGGGGAAGGCCACTGTGGGCCTCCGTCCCTGTACTCACAGAGCTGGAAGTAGAGTAAGGATTCCTTTTCCCTTTGACATCTGAGATATTTTGCTCAGCTCTCCTTCAGAGAACCCCCAGCAGACCTGCTTCCACTCTGCAGTGAGCTAAGCGCAGGAAAGAGTATCGTGATGTGAGGAGTTGGATGTGAGGTAGGAATGGTGACAATTCTGCTGGAGTCTGCTTTTTTAGCTTCCAGTTCTGCTGGACTGCTGCAGCCACTGGGGCTTCTTAGAGTCTGGCTCTGGTGTTCTGCACTGTCAGGAAGTTGCTGATGATCCCAGACACCACCTCAGGCTCATTCAGGTGCACAAAATGACTCCCAGGCACCTCGACTACCTGGATGTGCTGGACAGGAGGGACACAGAAGATGTAGACTGACTGGGAAGATGTTCCCTCAGGCAAACACTTGCTGTGAAACTCCTGGGAGGGGGCAGGGGCAAGGAAGGCAGGACAGGGATGGGAGGACCAGGGAAGGTCTAGGTCCAGAGAGCTTGGGACTTGAGCAGGAGGGACAGGAAGTGTGAGGGCTGTGCCCTTCAGGACAAGTCACCTCCTGGGGGGTGTCCACCAAGGTGAGCTGCTTCCCAGCTGCTGCACCCGGGTCAGTGGCACATAGAGTAGAGATGCAAGGATGGTGTTTGCTCTCACCTCTTTGAGGGTAGACTCAAATGCCTTCCGCAGGGCTTTCACAAAGTGATTTCTGCTGTGTAACTTGTGTGGTACCAAAAGTCCATCTTGTGATCTGAAAAAGCAACAGCAAGGCTCAGTACAGCAGTGTGCCCCCATCTGACTTTGCTGAGGCCCTGGGTAGAAGCAGTGTCCCCAAGACAGTGGCAGGGGTGGTGACAGACCCAGCTGTTCTTTCCAGGCTGCTTGTAAGCAGCAGGGTGACAGTGTCATACGTGGTAGAGCACAGCTTGGCCAAGCAGTTGTTTTCTATCAAACTATCTGTGTAAAACCTTGGGTTACTGCCTAGTCATATCAGAGTGGAGACTGGTTAAATATTGTCCTCCCAGGGCTGTCTCTGTAACTGCTCTGAGTACATCATTCCCTCCCCTGTTCTGTCTTCCACTCTTAACTTTTTCCTTCCTTACAGTTTCCACATCTCCCCGCTGTCCTTTTTGCCCCTCCATACTGCTGATTTAAACAGGGTGTGCCCTGCTTGGAGAGGGTGGTATGAGGGCAGTTTCCCGGGAGAAGCCAGCATTAGACCTCCTGCAGAGCAAAGATCATGCTGTCTCCTGCCTGCTCCAGGAGCCTGCCTAACACAGGGCAGTGGTGGGAAACTGGAAAATACTTCTCAGATGTGAGGCTGTACTGTTGTGCTAAGTGGACAAAGATCTGGGTGACTGCTGTAGAGGAAGGGATAGTGGAGGACTCCTTCTTAGCCTTCATTTCTTCCACCAAGGGAGGCAGCAAGAGCTGGTTTGGCTTACGCCTCACTCACACAATGATGAGAACACGGTCCTGGATCTTCTGCAGGAGCTTCACACACTGATCCACTGTGAGGGACTCTCGACTCTGCTGCAGGTGCAAAGAGGGGGAAAGTTGCAGAGGTCAGGGACAGCAGCTGAGGGCAGAGGGTGTCCCCAGGCCCTCCTGCTCTAGCAGCTCTGAAGGTAGAAATAGCAGTGGCCCCAAAGCTTCCATGCTGGGACATGATAAGCATCCAGGGCTGTGCACAGGAGTAGCTGGCTCTGCAAAGGCTCCTTCTGTCCAGCTGCGTTTCAGGGCTGCCAAAAACACTGCCTGCTGGGATGCAGCACATATGGAAATTATCTCATAGCAAAGAAAAGCTTTAAAAATCTTTTTACTAAAAAGGAGACAGTACACTACCCTGGCTTCCATATCCTGGCAGTAGCACAGGTAGAAGAAGCCCTATTTGCTCAAAAGTGGCACAAAACTATCAAAATATCAAATGTAAAGACTTTGTTCCACTCTCTTCCCTTTCTTATTTGGGTCACCTGACAAAGAAGCTGACAGAAAGCATCCATCCATCTGCTGCCTGAAGAGTTACAACAGCAGGAAAATGTGGCCAGGAGGCCCGGGGGCAGAGGAACTTTTAAAAAAAAAATCAATAACATTTTCCAGTGACTCTGTAAGCTGAGTCAATGATCAAGTGCAGGCTCTTTTAACAGCAGCATTTAAAGGAGATGTGGGAATTAGAGAAGCAGAAAGTAAATGGCTGGGTGGAGGCAGAGCCTGGGCTCACTGAGCAGGCCTCCACTATCTGTTTTCTGTAAGCTCAGGGCTCAGAAGTAGCAGGGGGCACGTCAGAAGAGCAATGCTCACCACACGGGCTCTCATGTCTCTGTTATATACCAGCCCTGGAAAGAAAAACAACAGAAGGTTTACATGTTTCACAGGAGGAAGAGTTGTTCTGGTTTTCCTCGCCTGTGGGGTCTGCCCAAGACTTTCTGAGCTAGGGGAACAGCGTTAATTTAGATTTCTCCTTTTTTTTATTTATTTCCTTTAGCTTTTCTAGGACTTGAGCACCCATTCCAGTTGCTGGGATGGGGAGCTCTGCCTCTAGACTTAATTGATCCCATTCAGGCTGTGTAAACTTGTAGCTAGGGCATCCTGTCCCCTGCAGAAGACAATGGCTATTGGCACCGGTCCCTTCCCACACCCAGCGCTGGCCCAGCACCACACAGCCCCTTACCAGCGGGTGTCTCAGTTGCTCCTCGCTGCAGCAGGATTGCTCCACCCTCTGCTGTCAGATGGCTGTTAGCTTCTAAGAGCCTGGAGGAGACATGGCAGAGAGATAGTGCTGCTGGAAAAGGGAGGAAGCAAAACAAAAATGACATGACAAGGTGACAGCAAGCTCTCAGCCTGCTTCAGAAAGGAGCGGGAAGAAGCAGCAGCTTCTGGCAGCAGAAGCAAAAGGTCTTGCTGAGATTCCAGAGGAGGACTTGAAAGAGGAAGTGCAAGGACAATTTCCCTTTCTCGTTCGTGCAGCCATAACTGTCAAGGTGAGGGCAGGCAGCAAATGAAGAGGAAAGATGGGGACCCACCTCTGCAATGCTGCTTCAGGGCTACGTGCTTTAGGAGTTTGCTCCTTTGCCTCTAGATTCAGTAACATGTCAATCACCCTCCGTTTAGATTTCAGCCATGCCTCAGTGTCCTGAAATACAGGGAGGGAGAGGAGTAACCCCTCTCTTCTGAATCATTTTACCCCCTGTCAGCTGGTGGAAGAGGGAATTTCGCCCTTCAACATCCCTCAGAACTGGTACTGGTTACAGATATATTAAAAATGCCCATTTCTGGAAAAAAGGGAACATCAATACCGCTGTCATGAACTTACTTACTTTTTACCCTTACAACCTTTTCTAACTCTTCCTACCTCACTTCTGAGTTGAGGACAACTGTCCAAAATTTGGTATCTCTGACCCAGGGCTTCTGTCCCACTTCTGCCAAACAAAGCTCCAGCATCTGGTAGCAATGATGGCAAGTTGGGAATGTAGCTTTTTGTCCTGCCAGGAACAGAAAAAGAAATCCACCAGTCTTGCACCCAGGTCACCCAACAAGCCATTGGCAAAAAGAAAACCTCAGCTGGCAGCTGCCTGGACAGAGGTTCCAATTCCCTTTGTACACGGGCACGGCACAGACAATTTTGGCACTGCCAAGTGTCCTCCAAGGGCCACCCTAAGTTGACCACCTCAGTCCATGCAACTAGGAGCAGATCAGTGCCTGCCACAAGGAAGAGCTTGGGACTTGTATGGCCTGCCAGGAACTGGTCACATCAGTGCTTTCTCTGAACAAATGAGGCAAAGAAAAAAACATCTATTTTTGTATTTAAAAAGAGTAAAGGGAAGGACACGTGAAATCTAACCTCTGGAGCTAGCAGAAAGCCAAGACTTTCCAGCAGGATCAGCTTGTCCACCATCTCAGGATAAAGGAAACAGAACTGAGGAGAGATGAAACAATATGAGAAAGAAAAGCTGAGCACTGAGTGATGTCTTTATCCTGATACATGGGAGAGGGGGTCAGGTCCCACACTGTCTGTCTCTTCATTCCTCTCCATTTGTTGTTGCAGCTGCAGAAATCACAAGCCCCATGAAGAAATGATGCTTTACTCACCATTCCTGCCACAGCCCCACCTGTGAAGGAGAGAAGGGTGCTCAGTTATGCTCAGAATAGCCCCTAGTAACAGAAATTTCCCTTCCCCACAGCAGGAACAGCCTCAGAAGTAAAAATGCCCACTGTACCACAGGACAAATCCAATGTACAGGGTAGAGCTCTCCCAGCAGGCAGGCTGCAGGCACAGAGCAGGGCTGTTGGCTTGCTGTATTCCCCATCCTGTGCCATCCCAACCTCCCTCTGAGGCAGCAAAGGCCAAGGAGGAGTTACTAGTTAAGAGGCTATAGTGTGCAGGTCCTGCGAGCTGTGGCCAGAGCAGCCCTGGGGAGCAAACCCCATATCGTGGCAAAAACAAATCATGTTCCAAGCACAAAGGGGTGGAGCCTGGAGTCCAGTTCCCCTCAGCAAGCTTTATAGCCCACCCAGATGAGAACTCTGTTCCCAGGCTTTGTGGGGACCAGGCAGGAAGGCTGCGAATTCTCCTACGTAGACCACCCCTCTCTGCCCATCACTGTTCTTTCCTGGGGGTGGGGAAATGCCCACAGCAAGAGTTACCACTGTTTGCACTACAGAGTCTTGAAAGCAGAGGCATTTCAGACAAGAAATGATTTTTGAATCATTCAAACAGAAACCTGGTACTTGACACAATATAATAAATATTCTAACCCATCTCCTAGCAGCATGTCTTGTAAGTTAATTATCTACTCCTATTTCCATGAATCTCACAGCTTACAAGGACAAGAGCCACTTACCCATACTGTGACCCATCAGGGTGAACCGTCTCCACTGCAAGGCTAAGTGGCAACAGACAAAAACAGATAGTGCTGCATTAGAAACCAGAGCAGCAGCATCTTGCTGCTTCTCCACCAACATGGGCCCCTTCTCCCAGGAGGGCTTTTGCACTACTTAATTGCTTCTTAATCCATATAAACTAGGTGGCTAAGTATGCTAGTTTCAAAGAAAAAAAGCATTCACCACTTCATTTTGTTGGTAGTTAAGCCGTGCAGCTCTCAAGCTCTCTGTATGTCAAACAAACTCCAGCAAATTCCCATTCACTGCCAGACACAAGACTGGCAAGAAGTAGAGGAGCCTAACCAGGCAGCATCTGCTGGAAGAGAGACCTTGACAGAGCATCCTGCTACAGGGTGTTCTGGAGACAACTGAGGACACAGAACCAGATCTGCTGCTTTGAGGAAAGTACAATTATTCCATGTGAAAGTTCTCTACGCCATTTAGCACATCAGGCTCTTCAGTCCATTTTTAGGGCACTCTGAGAGGCTTACAGGAAAATACAGCCTTTTCAGTTCTATTCAACTGAGATATACCTCACTGAAAGATTTTACTCTCTGGAACATCAGAGAACTTCTAGAGGCTCTTTGGGTACTGAATAAGGGATGCAAAACTGAACATGCCACAACCTCCTGCAAGATCAGCATACGGACTGTTACATCAGGAGTTATTAGGAGCACAAGACATCTGGCTTTCAGATTTCTTTGTATGATACTAAAGCAAGCAGCAAGCTGCCATCAGAGAGAACCAGAAGAGTCTCCAGCTTACACCTAACACTGGTTAGAGGTCAGGGGCCGCTTACAAAAAGTCAGTCTGGCAAAACTATTTAGTTGCATCCACCACTTTACCACTACTGCTTTTTTTTAATATAGAAACACTTGCTTCTCAGGGCTTACTCTCTTCCTCTAGCAAAACAGTGAGAAAGCAGGACACTTATTCAGTCACAAAGCACTAGTTAACATCAAACTGAGGATAAGTAGGGGGAATTGATTCCTTCCTAGCAGTAAATGCTGCCTGCTTGTTGTAAGGAGCAGGAGCAACATAGTGACCCCTGCACAAGCATCCCCTGAAGGGTCCTTTCAAATACCCACCTTCTGCCACGCGGCGCACATCGGTCACATAATCCAGGAAATGGTAGGGGCAGCCGGCAGGTCGGTGGGACGACAAACCATGGCCAGAAAAATCCATTGCCACATAATAGCAGCCTGAAAGGGAGAGAGTATCAGATGTGCAGCCCTGACACACAGTGAGAGCCATCCTGATGAGCCAGACGTACCTCTGGGGAGCAGTGGAATGAGCTTGTCAAAGGTGTTGGCGTTGTCTAGCCAGCCATGCAAACACAGCACAGGGTGTCCCTCCGAGGGTCCCCAGGCCTTGGCTGCCACGTGGCCCCAGGGTACAGGGAACTTCAGCTCTGAGAACATGCCCAAAATAGGGTCCCCAGAGAGCCACGTGCCTGGGAGTAGGTCCCAGGGGTCTTGTTAATGGTCCAGAGATCTGAGAAGAGTAAAACAGGTCTTTAGTACTCACCAGCCTCCTGCGGTCTTAATTAGCAGCTTGCTGATTTATAGCTCCCCATTCAACATCCCAAGCTGCCGTTCCTGACTGCCTGTTTGGGGAATCCTCCTCCCAGCACGTACTAGCAACGTTCCTAGGAAGAAATAAGCTTTCCCTACGCAGGAGGAGAAAGCCTCCTCTCTGTCTCTGCAGCAGCTGCAACCCGACCAGAAGTCACAGGAGATCCAGCAAGAGGGAACCATGCAGAATTCCCCCAGTTAGCTGCAGTCAGCCAGGCACCTGTCCTAGACCAAAAAGATGGTTTGGGGAATAAGGATGCTGCCTCCAATAGTAGACTGTAACTACCTTGTTCACTTTTACCTTGGTGCTTCTCATTTGCCCCACCAGTCGGTACCTTTGAGAGAGCAGATGGCTCCATGCCACAGCAGGTCACTGCTGCCACCTGCCCGCACACCCCTCAGGGCCAGGGACTCTGCATGGAATACGGGCCCATAACCGGCCAGGCGTCTGCTCGACCTCAAACCTACGTCATGACCGCAGATCTGCCAGGTAATCACGGAGCTATACCTGACCTTTGCTCAACCCCCAGCTCCTGAGTGAACCCCCGCAGTACTACCCAGCCTCTGGAGATGCTGCAGTAGTGGTTTGAACATTTCTCCTTTACCCACAAGCCCTGGGACCCCTTAGAGGCAACCTGACTATTCCCATCCCCAAGTCTCTCATGCCATATCCCCTGTCTTGTGTCTCTACTTCCTTGAATAGCCTCCCGAGACTGTGCTGCAATTAAATCACTCTGCAGCAAGTCCCTCCTGAGCCCATATCTCCCTAAGGCATGAGGACAGAGTGGGTAGGCTGAAAGGAGAGGCTGCTGTCAGGGCCCTGACGATCCCAATCAACCAAACCTGGGCGTCCCCATGAGCCTGTTTAAGCTCAGCCCAGGACCAGCCCAGCAGTGCTGCAGGAGTGCCAGTCTCCAACAACAACGCCCTCTTTCAGGAAACGTGGCCCTGCCTGCTGATCACGGGGCTGTGTCTGACCCCAGCTGCCCTCGCCGGGCCAGATCCTGACAACCAACCTCGGGCAGACTTCCCGGTGTGACCGTGGACCTGCCCCTTCCTGATGACCTGTGCTCCCGGCAGAGCCTGATCGCCCTCCCGGGGCAGCCCTGCCTGGGCCCGCGGGGCTCTGGCCCTGGGGTCCCCCCGGGCCCGGGCTGGGGCCTCCCCAGGCGGGCAGGAGGCGCCGCTACACCCGAACTTTCGCCTCAGGGCGCCCTGGAGGGCCCAGTCCAGACCCCGGGGAAGGACTGCCAGGGAACCGACCCCTGCCCGGAGCGACCCCGCACGGCCGCGGCTGCCCCAGCCCCGCTGCCCGCGCCGCCCGCGGCCCCCGGCCCCTTCCTACCGCTCCGTGCGGCCGGGCCGGCTGAGCTGAGGCGGCCGCGGAAGGGTTTGGCCCGGCGGCAGGGCAGGGCGGGCCGGCCCGGCCGCACCGCCCCGCTCCCCTCCCCGCCTCCCCGGAGCAACCCGGCCTCTGCCCCCGCCTGCTTTTGGATGGGGCTCAGTGAGAGTAATCAGAAGTTAACGACGTCTGTGGGGTCTGAAGCTGCGAACAACCGCCGGGGCATGATAGGGAGGAATCAAAATCAGAGAGGTACGGCTGCATCCCTGAGTACCTCCAGAAGACACATTACTGATAATAGAAACTGCCTGTACTGTGGTGACACAGTGTGAGATGTTTTAACTGTGACCCAGGAGCTTCATAATGACATCAAACAGGCTCAGTGCTTGACACCAACACTGAACTTCTATCGGTCTCTGATAGACAGACTCTTCTGAACTCCTAACACTTGATGGAATCACGTTGCTCCAGGGACAAGAGTCACCCTCCCATACTGTGACCCATCGCAGTGAACTGACTACTGTAGGGCCAAGCTGCCAGAGATACACAGTGGACAGCACTGCTTTAGCTGCTCCATTCCTCTTCTGCAAAAACAGACCCCTCTCAGATGGAGAGGTTTCAATATAGTTTTCCTCATCAGTTGACCAGAAAGGTGATGGCTGTATGGACTGAGTTTCAAGAAAGTCAACACCCAAGTATGGCTGTTTGCTGGTGCCTTGCCTTCCCTCCAGCAGTCAGTCTGCTAGGCCTAATGCAGACCACAAACATTTATCTTCAGTCAAGAACTCTGAAGTCAAAGGAAGCAAAGTCAAATTGTGTTGTGAGCAGTGGGACACCTTGCTGAAACAGTTGGAGAGCGCATAATGACTGTCTGTTCTTAGGGAGTCATTTTTATATTGATAATTGAAAGCCCTTTGCTCAGTTCAGCACATCAGTCTCCTAAATTACACAATACATTTTCAGAACAGCCTAAAAAACTTGAAAGAAACCAGTGTAGAAGCTTACAGCCCTGTTTCTCCTGCCTAGCTCAAACTCATCCTGGCAAAATAGGCTCTATACCAGGCAGCTGAAAGGTAACTTTGAGGACCCATCACTGAGAAGAAATGAGAGTGCTATGCAGCTCACAGCCTCCCCTTCAGGTGAGCCATTAGAAAGGAAATTAGAACATGAATTTTTACAGGTTTGGAAAGTCCAGCATATTGCTTTTTCTTAGACCTCTATGGTGGAGGAGCGGGAAAGCAGACTACAAGTGCTGGGGAGCCACACAGGGGGAGAGAGGCCACAGTACCTTCTGCAGTTTCTTTCCTACAACTGTCAGAGGTGGGTGGTTGATTACAAAAGGCAAAAAGTGAGAAACAGTTTGGCAGAACAAATTTGTGCAATGGAATCAATAATCAATCACTGCTGCTGCTGTTAGCAGAGGGCATGGCCCTCCTGTGCATTGCAGGTATTTCCTCAAAAGAAGCCACCAGAAGGCAGTGTAATTGTTAGGCAGTGGCTGCTGCTAGGCTTGTGTTTCTTCAGTCTATGGCATGACTCTTGAGGAACAGGACCCTGTGTCATGAGCAGCAGTTATGCAGACTCTTTGCATAACCTCAGAGGTTGGTGGGACAACAGGCCATGGCCAGGAAAATCCATTGCCACTCATGAGCCAGATCTACTTCTGGAGAGCAGTGAAATGAACCCATTGAAGGTGGTGGCATTGTCCACAGCACAGGTTATCCCCAGGCCTTGGCTACCACCTGTGTTTGGGGCACAGGGAATTTCACCTCTGAGAACTTGTACCCACAAGCAACATCCTCTGAGTGCTAAATGCTGGAGCTGGTCCCAGAGAGCTTGTTAACAGCCAAGAGTTCCGGACAGAACTTGTAGGTAGGTGGTAGTTACCAAAGTTGTTTATCTGTCAGTCCTGACCTCTACCCAATACCAGTTTTTGGGGTAATCCTGGTGTAAATGCTTGACCTGGTAGTATATGCATCACCTCCCACAGGTCTTGGACCCTCTCCTCCACCACGCTGGGCTGTCAGCAGCCAGTAGGATCTGGTCTCTCATTGCTTTGGGTCATAGAGATGACTCTGGGACTCAGGTGGGAATAATGCATTCTCTAGTGAATACATTCTCTAGGACTCCTGTGACCTGCATCCTAAATCACTTCTGGTAGGAGGCTCCATCAGCAGCCACCTCAGGGAAAAGGAAAAATTTCTCACAGAAATCATGAGGAATAAGTGATTTCTGATAGAGCTCCAAGTGGAGGAAGTTGCACTGGGATGTTTCCTGGACCTTCCCCTCAGTGGCAGGACTGTCATCCTATTAGCCAAAGCCAGATTGTGGAGTTCTCCTCCAGGTCCCTCATGCCTTCTCTAGCAATGCTACTCATGCTTCTGAAAGAGCAGCCCAGCATCTCACAAGAGTGTGCATCTGCTCCTGCACAGCCTGGAAAATCAACCCCCAAGGGGAGGGCCCTATGTAGGATGCATGGCAGAATTTGGGTGGCTCACAGAATTCATTCTGCTGCATCTACTTCTACGAAGTGCCGCAGGCTACTGCAGTGGAACTGTTGCCTGTGGAGGACCAAATTAGACTCCACCTGGAAAGGTGCTGAGGTGTTGGCTGGGCTGCACTGGGCTGGTGGTAAGAAAGGCTGGTTTTGCATAAAGAACTGGGAGTTAGTTTGAGATATCCCATGTGCTTAGCAAAGGATAATTTAACCTCTGTATCCTTGCAAAGGAGCAGGAGACCTGCAAGGGTGAACTCTGGGGCATGCAAAGCTGTTATGCTCCGCTGACTTGCAATAGCATTGATCAGTTTGTGCTTGCTACAGATCTGGTGAGGAAACTTTAAGTACAGCAGATTGATTGCTACCAGGGGACAAATTCCCCATAGCTGGTTGGATTCAAGCCCTGATGTACTGACATATTGATCTATTTATGTTGATTTATTAGTAATAGCCCTGTACCCCAAATTCTCTTGTGCCAGTTAAAAAAAAAAAAACCATCCTATTGCTAGCTTGACTGGTTTCTTTCAGAGGATATGTATAGGACACACCTCTATATAAAGCACTACATTGTGAGCATATGCTGCAATCTACAGTGGGCAGAAAAATCAAAGTGATCACAGGGCAGCATGTTATCATGCAACCAGCTCCAACATGCTGGCTCACATCACAAATCTTGCTTGCCTTGGAGATGGTCCCAAGAAATCTTAAGGGTTTAAATGGGCTGCCCATGTGGGATGAGCTGAGGTAGAGTATGAACATCCCGCCACCTCTGGGCTCTGTTCAACAACAGCAGAACCATCCAGGTACTTTATGTGGTGGTAGTTTTTTTTTTTTTCTTTGGTTTTCCCTAATTTCTTGTTGAATCTCATTGATGTGAATTTCTGATGACTGAAAAAAACGTTGACATATTAAAAGTAAAAAAAACCCTGTGATGGTTTAAGCTGGTTGCTCTTCCCTTGCTCCAGTCCTGTTGCACTTCTTGTTCCAGAGCTCTCCAGCTCTGCAGAAGGTGGGAGAGACATACTCTTGGCTCCCACCCACCACAATCTGAGGCCAATATGATAGTTTAAATGGAGATCTTTGTTTTAAGCCAAGCTATGAGTGGTTGAAAAAGTGGAGTGTATATCTACTCCAGGGATTAACCTGCAGCATAATTTGGACGGTGGGGCTGCTGGGGTGTTAAATCATCTGCACATGAACCACCACCATTCAGCTGGAAGCAGCCCCAGGCACACATCATGCATCAGGTCCAAGTGGTGCACATTTGTATCACTTCATTTGCAACTAATGAAATAGCTAGAAACATTTATTGCATATAAATTATATATGAGCACCCATCATACAAATAAACTCTTTCCAGTCTCAGCTTCCCATTTCCTCGTTAATCACAAAGTCTCTTACATTTGGGACAGATTCAGGAGTGTCTGCTGGTTCCCATCCCCTGGGCCTGTTTTGGTTAACTCAAGAGGTGAGCTACTCTCCAGATCTCTACAAAGCCCCTACACACCTCTAGAGTATGCACCTATTCCAACATATGGAGTGGTAGGGGAAGCAGAAAAGTTTCTCTCCAGCTCTTGCCTAGAATTAAACTTCTTTCACGTGGAAAATCTGGCAGATTCCCCATAGGCTGAGATGAAATAATAGCAAAAACCATAAGTAATCTGACACTTGTAATTACAGGCCTACCAGCCCCTTATTGACCTCAGAATAAGGAAATAGCACATACTGGGATCATTTAAAAACAAGGGAAGAGTTCTAGTTAACACTAAGTCTCATGTGTTTATGGAAAAGAATTCATAAAATTGCTTGGGAACTTTTTGAGATGTAAGTTACAGGTTTGGGTTATGGATTTGGCTGACAAATATAAAAGCTGTTGAAGTAACAGGGCTCCAGCAAGGAAACTAATACAGTCTTACACTGTGTTTTGATTTTTAGAAAACTGGAATGATACAAAATCAACACATTTTGTAGTAAAAATTGACTAGATAGCGAGTGTCAAAATGTTAAAGTTGATATAAGCACCTAAGGGGTGTTTCTGAAACAGCCCAACAGTGAGTTACTCCACCCAGGCCACACTTTTTGGTCTGGCAGCTCTGTTTGTGGAAGAAGTGACTCTGGCGAAGGATTGACTCACAGTGTAGGAGCAGCTGAGTGGGAGCTCCCAGTGCAGTCAGAAAGGCTAATTCCATTCCAAATGTATAAGCAGGGAATGCGGAACAGGTGTAATGAGATTATATTGCAGGAGATTATATTGTGTCTGTTAATTCCATGGATGTGATTAGTGGTGTGAATGAATTCCCAGTTTTGACATCTACGATTCAATGAGGAAGGTAACAAATTGGAGAGGCTTCCTGCAAGAACTCTAAGGCCTGTTAAGGAGTTGGAAGACATCTTATGG